GGAGGGCAAGGACGGGGCCATTGAGGGCAGCAGCGGGGCCACGAAGGGCAGCGAGGGGGCCACGAAGGGCGACAGCGGGGCCACGAAGTGCATGCATATGGGGCCACGACGGGCGCGGACGAGCGGGGGCCACGAAGGGCATACATACATATATATATATATATATATATATATGTATATATATATATAGGTGTATATATATATATGTCTGTATCTACATATGCTTATATATGTACTAGTGTATACATATTTACATATGTACATATATACATATATATAGCTGGTTTTGTGTGAAGGGCTGATCAGGCAAGTAGCTTCGAGATAACGATGCCGAAGGACGCCGCGCCGAGAACACACACCCTGCATTAAAATGCCGTTTGCGTCTACACTCTGCTGAGTGACGAGGGAGGCTAGAAACGCGGAGCGGAGGCACGCGAAAGAGAGAGGGAGGGAAGGAAGACTTGAGCGGGGCAGTTGCGGCGGGAACAAGGATGGGCTATGCCTGAACATGTGAAGTGTGACAGCTCGCCTGCCTTCCCTCCCCGCCAGGCTCATTTTGTGTGAGGGGCTGACCAGGCAAGTAGCTTCGAGATAACGATGCCGAGGGACGCCACGCCGAGAACACACACCCTGCATTAAAATGCCGTTTGCGTTTACACTCTGCTGAGTGACGAGGGAGGCTAGGAACGCGGAGCGGAGGCACGCGAAAGAGGGAGGGAGGGAAGGAAGACTTGAGCGGGGCAGTTGCGGCGGGAACAAGGATGGGCTATGCCTGAACATGTGAAGTGTGACAGCTCGCCTACCTTCCCTTCCCGCCAGGCTCATTTTGTGCGAGGGGCTGACCAGGCAAGTAGCTTCGAGATAACGATGCCGAAGGCGCCACGCCGAGAACACACACCCATACCCGCATGGTGAACTGGCCGATCTGCTCCGACTTGATAAGGCGGCCGAACAACTAACTCTAGAAACCAATGGTACATCAATTGCATACTTAGCAAACACCTGAGCCCGTTTATCCTCGAACGATCGCTGCAACACACGACCAAACTTCTGAGCAGACGCTTTGGGGTATTCTGCAGCCAGACGGGTAAAATGAGGACCCTGCGGAGCATGACCAGACAATATCACGTGATGTTTCTGCGTCTTTGAACATGTACCTGATCGGCCAGAGCAGCGAAGGCCGAGACTCAGCAACGGGAGCGAGTGCCAAGCAGCGAAGCAGGTCGCCTTGCGCCACGTCGCTCCTCACTGGCACATGTGGAGCTGGACCTTCTGGGCAGATGATGCCCGCAAAAGCCTGGCCAGCTCGGGGGCGTGCCGCATCAGGGGGCCAGCTGGATTCTCGAGGTAGGCGGCAACCTTCCACTTCGTGGCCAGGCGGGCGACTGCGCAAGTGAAAATCGAACTGCCGACGCCCAGCCGCGCCTGCTCGCTAGGGGAGAGGCAAGGGAGCCCCGCGGGATGACGTCGCGAGCGCAGCGGCCGCCGCAGCGCCTGACTCCAGGCGGCGCACGGCGCCCCGAGCCAGACGCCGGCGATGCAGCCGGCGGTGACCCAGCCCTGGAGAACCTCAAAAAACTCATGCACCAAGTGATTCTCGCGGGCCCCGCGGCCGATGTCGAAGCCGACGGCCGCGAAGCCCTCTGCCTTCAGCGCGGCTGCGATGCAACCTTTGCCACAAAAACAGCTCGACAAACATGGGCCGCTTGCGCGCCTGGCCCTCGCCGACAGTCCGCCGGAAGGCGGCCGTGCTGTGGGCCCGCGCGGCACTCGGGGCCGCTATCAGCGGCGGCGCCGCTTCTGGCCGCGACCTGCCGCAGCCGCCGCCCGGCCGGGCCGGGCGCGCGCCGGGCCGGCCAGGGCAGCGGGCACCTGGGATCGCAGCGGGCGCGGCCCGCCGGCAAGGGCGCCCTGGGTCGCGATCCTGAAGTTCGCCTCGACCAGCTTGCCGAACGGCAGCGTGGCGGCTGGCGCCCAGTGGAGCTCGGCGAGCAGCTTCGACTCCTTCGCGAAGCGCTTCATGCTGCTGCTGTGGCCCCACCTGCCCCTGCGCTGCACCTGCGCTGGCGCGCGAAGGCCCCGGGTGATGTCCCCCGAGGCCCCCCCCCGGCGCAGCGAGTACAGGCGAGGGCGGAGGCAGTTGAGCGAAAGGTGCTTGGCCGCCTCGCCGAAAGCCCTCTTGCACTCGCAGAAGTCGAAATCCCAGAGAGAGGCTTCCGCTGGCGTTGCCAGCTTCAGAGCCTCCAAGACCAGGAAGAGCCAGCTCGCATTGTCGATGATCACCGACTCCTCGAAGAGGCCGACCTTGCTCGGGACCCGATCGACCACGTCGTGCAGCAGAAACGCCCACTTGTCGCGCGCTAGGCCCGCAACCGCCGCCGGCTGGACCAGGCGGCGGCCCCGGGGGCGCAGAGCCTCGCCAGGGCGGAGGTAGCGCAGGAAGCTCAGGACCTCGCAGATGGACATCCACGCCTGGCCCCAGCTGCCCACCGGGCCCGCGATTGCAAAGCAGGCGCTCCTCGGCAGCGGCAGCCGCGTGCGCGCTGGGGCACGACGAGCCCAGGCGATGGCGCGCCGCTTGGCCCGAGGCAGCACCCGCGGCACAGCCTTGCGCAGGACAGGCATGACGTGGCTGAGGGCCGCCATCAGCTGTGACCCTGTGTAGCCGTTCTCGCCCAAGAGGTACAACTGGACGAAGTACTCCACCAGCAGCGCGTCGAGCTCCGTCGTCGAGTCCCAGTCCAGGCGGCGCACCGAGCAGACGGCCGCGAAGGCCTCGAGGGCCATCTTGTAGTTCTTGGCCGTCGATGGGAGGATCGCCGCATTCTCCAGGGTCGACAGCCCGCGGAAGCGCAGCGCGGCCCGGGGCGCCTGGGCGGCCGCCTGAGCCCGCTCGCGCATCAGGGCAGACGCTGCCGGCGCCCGGGACGCCCGCGCCCCCTGCGCGCCCGGCGCAAGCAGGAGGCAGGCGGCCGCAGCCAACCGCACCAGCAGCAGCGCCCGCATGGTCGTCATGCGGGCCGCACGCCGTGCGTGCGCGCTCCCGAGAACCAGCCGACCTCGTCTCTGGAGACCGGGTCGGCCGGTTGAGCTTCGACGGAACCCGCCGGACGGCGAGTCTCGAGCCTGTAGGAAGCTACAGAGCACATACAGGATGCAAGCACTGTCGAAGATGAACGGACCTGGCGCGCCCCTTGCCCGCAGCTAACACTTAGAGGAAGGTTGTCCGAGAGGATCAGGATACGGCGCCCGTGGGTCTTGCAACTTCTCAGGGCGTTCTGGAAGCCCATGACCAGGGCCTCGCCCTCAAGGAACAGGATGTCGGGCCCCATCTCGACATGCGTGGCCGAAACGCAGCCCCAGCACCCCGGGCGCAGGAATCGCCTAGGTACCTCCGAGAACTCCCCCGTGTCCGAATCGGGGTCCTCCTCGTTGACGGCCCACAAAGGCCCCTCGTCCCGCTCCATGATCATCGCGGTCTCCTCGCCCATCCCCACCTCCTTCAAGACCCGCTGCCGGGCCCGAGCACCACCCTCGATCGTGAAACGGGGCCTCTCTTTCTGGAAGCCAATCTCCTGGGCCTGGACCTGGCTGGGCCTGCGGCGGGCGACCCCCGACCGGAACGGCGAGACGCCCGTGCAAGCCACGTGGGGATGCCAATCAGCTTGGAGACCCACGCACAGCAAGAGTAGCAAGTTGCGAGCGCTCTCGAGCTCTAGCCTAACTGAAGCCCACAGGGCACACGGCGCAGGACCAGCAGCCTTGGTGAACGCGTGCGCGGCATGCAACAGGGACAGACACTTTCTGCGCACCAAACTAATACAAGTGATATGTCCTGCGCTGACGCGCAAGAGGTGCCCGCTCGCCCTCGATCTACCCAACAACTCATCCAAGGCGCATCGAACCCTCCGCATGTTGCGGCCCTTGACCGAGAGAAAACGACCGGCTCTGAAAGACATCCCCGAGAACTCACGGCCCCGGCCGGCCCCCTCCAACTCGTGGATGACGAGGCCCAGGCCCCGCAGCTGCTTGACGACGACGTTGAAACGACTTGCAACGGCCCCCGGGTCAGACCCCAAGGTGAGGAAGTTGTCCACGTAGGCGGCTGACGCGGCGTCTAGCGCCTGCTCGCCCCCCCCGAAGCCCCCATTTGTCCAGGGCCCCTTCCAAGACGTTTTGACATAAATGGAGAACCCAAAAGAAGCCCATCGGCAGCGCCCGCACTCATGGTAACATAGTTGCGCCGGCCCCGCCAGGGGCTCCAGGCGCGTGAACCGTCTGCAAGCACGATGAATCTACACAGGGCAAGCTAAACATATGTTCCATTCCTCTAGGCAGCTGCATACGGTAATAAGCCACATCCAGATCCCCGCTCGCCACATATAAAGGGCCCCCCCACCCTCGGCTTCCAGGGGGGCGAAGGCCGAAGGGGGCGGGGGACGAGACGAGTCGAGGGGAATCTACGAACCTGCAACTCGCAATTCTGGCGTCGAAAATGATGCATTGTGAGCCGCTTTTCTTCTTCGCAAAAAACCAAGCCAAGACTGCCTTGCTGCCCCGTGGCGCGCTCCCAGGGCAACACATCCCCCGAGAAAACATATCTGCTAAAAACTCAGCACACCGCCGCGGCGAATTCTTGAGAACGGGGTCCACACGCGGCCCCCGTGGACAAACTTCTTTTTGCCAAGTCCGTGCCTCCGGTTCCGGGAAGGGCATTTGACGCTGCAGCCGTGCGGGCCCACCTGCTCAGGGGGCCACGGGGCCAGGCCCCGCTGGAGAGAAGCCACCGCGCCCCCGTCTGGCGAATAGAGGGCGGAGCCGTCAAGGAGCGCCGACAGGGTTCCCTTGGAAAATGAATGCTGCTCGGAAGGGCCCACGGGATGGGCCCCGATCGCGCGGCAAAAGGAAATGCTATTTGCCGCGGCGGCACGCTGCCCGGCATTCGAGATGTCACTCCCGGGGGAAGTACAGGCGTAGGTATTGTTGAGAGCGGCGATGGCCTCTCGAGCGAAGAGCTCGTCATGCTCGCCACGGAGAACGCGACGACGCACAGCGCGCGACGCAGAGCTAGGAGCAGGTAGGGCAGCGATGGCGTCGAGAAGAGGTGGATGAAATATATGGCGACGTCGCCCATCAGGAACTTCTCGACGTCGCTCGTTGCCGCCGACCTTCTGGAGGCCGGGTGGGCCCTGCAGCCCTTCAAAGCCATCGTGGGTGGAGGCCGGGTCCCGGGCCACCACCTGGCGCACACTGACCCCTTGCCCTTCTCGCCTTTCTTGCCCTTCTTGTCCTTGTCGTTGCTGCCTGGAGCGCCTGATGCCAGCTGCCGCTCCTCACGAGCCCTCCTGAGCTCCTTCTGTATCACCACCTCGCGAGTCAGCTCGGCCGACACGTACTGCTGCAAGACGGGGGCAATGCAGACGTCGCCTCGCACCTCAGCGGCCCCCATTCATGAGGTCGCGGTTGATGTTCTCGGGCTCGGCGGAGCTGCTGCGAGCGCGGCAGCGCTCCTCCTGCATTTGGAGCGTCCTCGCGATGAGCTCGGCACTTGCCAGATCACACGCGCTGAACTGATCGTGCGAGATCATGGTCTCCAAGAGCCGGCAGCACAACAGGTGCATTTCGACTCCAGCGTCATCTGGATCCAGCCCCACCTCGGTCAGCCAGCGCGAGTGGCGCGCGCGCGGGGAGCCTCCGCGCTGCTGGATGCACTGGAGCACCCAGTGTGTGGTCCGAGGCCCGCGGACTGGGAAGTCGGCCCACGCGTGCTCGGACTGCGCCAGCACGCCCTCGCGGAAGTCCAAGCGCCGCTGCCCCCGCCCGTCGCGGGCGGCCGCCAGCGCGCGCAGGTCTGGTCTGGCGCGTTGAAGGGTGCAGGCCCCGCGCCGCCGACCACGGCCGCCGCCGCTGGCGCAGCCGCGGCAGCTGCTCCGGCGGCGGCGGGCGCCGCGCCCGCAGCGGGCCCGGCCGCAAGCAGCGCCGCGGCGGGAGCAGCCAAAGCCCCCGTGGCCGCCGGCGCGCCTGCGGCCGCCGCCGCCCCCGCGCCGGCACCGGGGCCGCGACGAGGCCGGCAAGGCCCACCCCTGCCGCGCCGGCAGCGGCTGGAGCCGCCGCGCCCGGCACCGCCACCAGCGCGCCCGGAGCCGCCAGTGCGCCTGGCGCGCCCGCGGCGCCGGCCGGTGCCGCGCCGCCCAGCGCCGCGCCTGCCGCGGGGTTGGCCAGCGGGCGCTGCCAGGCGGCCACCCCGAGGATGTTGCCAGCCGCCAAGTCCAGCATCAGCGGCCCCTCTGGCGGAGGGGGATAGCCTGCTGCCACTGCCCGCCACACAGCGCCCAGAGCCTCCGCGGCCGTTGGGAAGCGCCCGAAGCAGCACACGCGCACGGCCGCCAGGGCCGGGTGGTTGCAACCCTGCCCAGCCAGGCGGACCACCTCAGCCACGTCGGGCCCCGGGGCGTTCGGCTCGTCGTAGTCGTCAAAGTCTGGCGTCAGGATGTAGCTGAGAGCCCCGCGCTCGGCAGTGGTGAGCGTCTCATGCCAGAACACAGGCCATGGCACTCTATACCGCACGCAATGGAACGAGCCAGCCATCAGTAGTTGCTGCGCACTCGGCTGGCCCTGGCCTGCTCCGCCGCGAGTTTCGCGAAGTCCGGCGCCTCGGGGCCCTCTAGCCACGGCGGGGAGCCCAGAGCCTGCACCGAGCGCCGCCTGGGCCAGCAAGCCTACACCGCGCCACCCGCCAGCCGCAGCGCCGCCTTCAGCGCCTCCAGCAGCAGGTAGGCCACGACCCCGACGCCCAGCTGGAAGGACCAGCTCGTCTCGCCTGCCTTGCAGGCTGGGCAAGGGATAAATGGGTCTGGGCAACTGAGCACCAGCCCCTTCGCCTTAAGCGCCGCGGCCAGGCACTCAGACAAGGGCGCGTGGGTGGCCCCGTCCTCGTCCTCGTCCCGCAGCGCCTCGCGGACGGCCTTGGGACGCGGCTCCGCCTGCGGCGGACGCTGGGGCGTGGCAGGCGGCGACCACCACCAGCGCGCGACACTCAGAGCGCCGATATGGCCGATGAGGTGCAAGCCACCCTTGCGATCGCATTGAACTGGGCACGCGCCATTTCAAGACTTGAGCGTGGCAGTTGCGGCGGGAACCAGGATGGGCTATGCCTCAACATGCGATATGTGATATATATATATAATATACATATACATATACATATGTATATATATATATATAGATATAAAGGGGGGGGGGGGGGGCACGATGGGCAACGAGGGGGCCACGAAGGGCTGCAACGGGGCCACGAAGAGTGGCGAATGGGCCACGAAAGGCTGCAACGGGGCCACGAAGGGCAGCGAGGGGGCCACGAGGGGCTGCAAGGGGGCCACGAAGGGGAGCGAGGGGGGCCACAAAAGGCTGCAACGGGGCCACGACGGGCAGCAAGGGGGCCACGAATGGCTGCAACGGGGCCACGAAGCGCAGCGAGGGGGCCACGAAGGGCTGCAACGGGGCCACGAAGGGCAGCGAGGGGTCCACGAAGGGCTGCTATGAGGCCACGAAGGGCAGCGAGGGGGCCACGAGGGGCTGCAACGGTGCCACGAAGGGCAGCGAGGGGGCCACGAAGGGCTGCAACGGGGCCACGAAGGGCAGCGAGGGGGCAACGGAGGGCTGCACCCGATTCCTACACAATGTGTGAGGGAGTCATAGGCGTGAGCGCGACTTCTGAGCGCCTGAGTGTCAGGAACGCGGCACGTGAATAAATCGCAGGAAATTCCGACGAAAGGGCGCTATTCTTTAGTAAATTGCAAGCGCGACTCCAGAGCGCCGAAAGAGCGATTCCGGAATACACTGTTAGGAAATCCCAAGCGAAAGACGATTCCTGAGTGAAATGCGAGGAAGTCTCAGGCGGCAGCGGGGGTCCTGGCTAAATTGTGAACAAGTCTCATGTGGGAGCCGTTGTTGTTGTAACCCGGAGGCCGGGGGCACAGCTTGAGCTTCAAGACTTTTCCTTATCAAAAACAGGGTGCGAACGCCGGGAGGGGCACTTCAATTGAAAAAACAGTATGCACCGATGAAGGGGGGGAACAATAATCATTCTTCAGAAATGTCAGTTCAACAACAACCACAACAACCACAACAGCAACGCAACAAGCAGAATTCGCACCACAAATTCCCTACTCAACCACGCACCCAGGGACAATGAATGACCGTTCGGTCACATTACTCTAATTTTTACACATACACCTTTACCGATACATATACATATACAGAAGATGCACGGAAAGATGCGCCACCGATGGGATGAAGACAGAAGGGTGATCACTGACTTCCCCGCAGGCGACCAACATCTGGTCCTACAGCTCTGCCGTCGCCTGCCACGGGGTCTTATGTCGCCAGACAAGCACGTTGAACTCTGGCGTTCTGAACCACAACGCACAGTCACGAGACGCCGAAGTCTTGCGATAAGACAACGCAGCCTTCCCCTGGCCTCGTTCGAGCGGAGACTCTCGAACGGCTGGAAGGCGATCCGGACGAAACGCCGAAGAACCCCCGAGACCCCTCTGAACCCGCAGCGATGTACTCCGAGGCGAGGAGGAGGAGGAGGAGGAGGAGGAGGCTGCAGAACGAATCGCGCGTGGCCTCTCGCCATCGACTTTCAACGGCCCGCGCGGACTTCCCGGGTCGGCGCTGGGCCCCGCCGCGAGGAGCGCGCCAGGGGCGGCGCTGGAGACGTGGCAAGTGGCATGGGGAGGGGTCCCGCGCCGACCCATGCAATTTGCGCGGAGTTCCACGAGGGCATGCGTTTTGTCTGCTTGCACGCCCCTCTTGCCCTTGACGTGTGGGCCTCCGAGGGCCTCCGAGGGACTGCGGAGGTCATCTAGAGGCCACCGAAACCCTCCAGAGTCCTCCGAAGACCCCACCTGCAAGGCGTAACGGTGGGCGGGGCGTAACGATGGGCGTGGCGCCGACTTTGTAGGGTTTTCGAGTGGGCTGCAGATGTGAGGCCAAACTCGGGGATATACGACGGGGGGTGTGCTGATCCTCGATCGGGGTACATCCGAATAGCAACATGGGTTCTTATGCCCGAGATCCCGCTCGTTTCTGAGCGGTCCGATTTTTGTTGGGCATGCTCATTTGGGATTGGGGGCGAAAATCGCCGTCGAAGGAAACTATGGCCTGGCTCTTGCGGCGAACCCCGCTGGCCCCCGATCGAGGTGCCTCGTCGATCGGACGACGCAAACCGTGTACCAGACCAGTTCGATGGACACGCGCGGCGTGCGTGCGTCGGCAGTTTCGTACATGGCCAGTGTCGTCCCAATCGAGGAGATCGCCCTGTCTGCCTGCGGTGGCCATGGCCGTGCCCGCCGCCTCGCGGCGGCGGCCAGTGGCACCCGACGACCGGCCGCGCCGGCCGCGCCAGCGATGCCTCATGGAGGAGTTCGCCATCACGTTGCAGAACGCGGGCGCCTGCGCGCGTGGCTGGTGGCGCCGGAGGGTTGGCAGGCAATGCGGGGGGCAGGCCTGGCCCCTCGAGACCCTCCCGTCGCAGCATATTTCTGTGACCTCCTAGGCTTCGAGAGACTTCGTAGCTGTGAGCTGACTGTTCATGCGGCGCTATTCCCCGCACCAGGGAAACCTGCCTCAAAATCGATGTGCTCAACATTCCTGGAAGGACTAAAGGGGGGCGGCGGCATAGACGGACCTGGCGGTGGCCACTGCCGGTTCCTCAGGTAGTCGCTCTGTGAATCGACGCCTCCTCCTGGCTGCGCACCCAGCCCTGGTCGCCCCGAAGAGCTGGCGGCTGAGGATGCGGGTCTCGACGAAGTCTCTAAAGCCTCCATGCGTCTCTGATGGGCCTTAAGCTTCGCCTGAATCGCGGCGGTGTCCCTCGCAGACTTGCTCGGCCCGCTGACAGACGCCTCCGCGATGTTCAGCCTGGCGCCGAGACTGTTAAAAACCGCTCCGACGATACACTCTGCTAGCGACCGCTGGGCTGGGTTGGTCGGGGCAGCCTGAGCAGGGGCAGGCGGCCCCTCTGACGCGCAAAGCCAGTGGCGGCGCCGATGCTGGCAATGACGATGGCGAAGATGATGCCCATGTGTAGGTGAAGAACGTGCTTGAGTGATGATGGAAGCAACGGTGGCTAAACAATGACGATGGCGTGACGCGGCGGCGCTGATGCGGGCGATGGAGAGGAATTGCGCGCGAGGGTAGCACGTGGTTCTAATGATTGGTTGAAGAGCTCTACGTTGAAATGCTTCATAAACTGGTGGTTCTAGACTGATGTCGCACGCGCGCGTGGCGGGGCGTGCACATACCTTCATTGTCGTATTTGATACGGATTCGTGCAATGGGCGCGTGCTGGATCAAAGCGGATGCACCACGTGGTGAGATGAGAATGTGGGTGCTGGAAAGGACTATTATAATCAAGTGAGTTTTCGATCATCTCAGCAGAATAAATGCGCGCCGGCAGGATATCCGTAAAACTTGTAAAGCAACGAGCGAAGAATTGTATGCTTCATCTTGACATGATTGCGAAACCGGCGTGGTTGGCACGATTTCGATATGCGCGTGCGCGCGTCGACTTTGTGCATTTCCTGCAGGAAGGGGCCCAATACAAAACATAATTCCCGATGGCCAAATGTGCGCGCATAACAATACTTGACAAAGATGGACAACGATCGGGGGAACCGACACCGTGTGGCCTGGGCTGGTATGGGCTCATAGGAAGCATGAATAGGAAGCATGAGCGGCGAGGAAAAAACAGATGCAATGTGAAATGCCGCCAGGGGGTAGCGATAAGCCCAGGCTCGGAAGGGGGGTGTCGTGACTCACTCTGTTCGAATATCATATCTATGTGGTGCACACTATATAGTGCACGCACCGTGCGCCCACGAAGCGCCCACGAGCGACACCATGGCGAAACCTCGGCGGACCCCGAGCGCGGTGGGGGGCAACGAGGCGCCCGCGGCCGGCAACGTGGCGAAAGATCGGCGGACCACCACGCGCAGTGCGCGGCAATGAGGCGGCAACGGGCAGCAAGATGGCGAAACCTGCGCGGACCCAGCGAGCGCGGCGGGCGGCAACGAGGCACCCACGGGTGACAACGTGGCGAAACTCCGGCAGACCCAACGCGGCGAACACTCTGCGGACCACCACGCGCAGTGTGCGGCAACGAGGCGCCCACGGGCGGCAACGCTGCGACACCTCGGCGGACCCTCCCAACAAAGCAGGGGCGGCCACGCGGCACTCACGGGCGGCAGCGGGGCGAGGCCTCGGCAGACCCTCCACGGGAGCACGGCGGCAGCAAGGCGCACGGGTGCGCCAGCAAGGCGAAACCTTGGCGGGCCCCCCCCAAGCGCGGTGGGCGGCAGCGAGGCGCCCGCGGGCGGCAGCGTGGCGAACCCTCGGCGGACCCGCGAGCGCGGCGGGCGGCAGCGAGGCGCCCGCGGGCGGCAGCGTGGCGAACCCTCGGCGGACCCGCGAGCGCGGTGGGCGACAGCGAGGCGCCCGCGGCTGGCAACACGTGGTGAAATCTCGGGCAGCGTGGCGACTGTCTGGCGATTCCTGAACAGAGATCGGCATGGACCCTCAGTGCAAACACTGCCTTGGGACTGCCATTCAAAAAGCTACTGCTCTTGTTTTGGCGTACAGATTCGGCCTTGTGTCTTGAGGACATCAAAGCGATTCGAGAGGCTCCAAATATCCACGAGGCACACAAAGTGGCCCCCCAAAGGCCTCGATGGGCCCAAAAGGAGGAACTCGAACTGACATTCGAAGCTCTCCGCCGAAAGGTGGCACCCTACAACGCCACTAGGCTCCGAAGAGGCCCCCAAGAGCCCCCGGGCGTCTCCCAAGAGCCTCCCAGAAAGACACGCCTGGAGGCCCCAAAGAGGCCACAGACCCAAACAGGCCGCCAACGTTAACTCCAACAAAAAGCAGCCAAACTGACGCCCAGACTGGGCACAAAGAGGCGCTAAATATGGCCCCAATACGGCAGAATATTACTTTCAGACGGTGCAGGAGCCCCCAGTATGTCCCAAGAGAGCTCCTGGTGAACCTCCAAGATGCTCCTCAATCATTGATTTTCCAAATGTGTGCTCAATTGTGTTCACGTTGTCGCCGTGTCGCGCTGAAAGCCGTACAACAACCAAATCGCCACAAGGCGGCCCGAGTGTGCCCCAGGAGGTGCCCAAGACGGAACAACAGAGCCTCAAGAGACCCTCTGGGGCTGTCATGGCTGTGGTCACGGAGACGTGTGTGTGTGTGTGACTACGTGTTTGTTTATCGTACGCATACACAGATGTACATACATATAAAGAGATTGGCAAGCATAAGCTCGCCCGTACAGCCGCATGCAAGCATGCAGAATCCGTAAACAAAAAGAGAGAGAGAGAGAGAGAGAGAGAGAGAGAGAGAGCGAGATACAGGGAGGGAGAGGGAGAGAGCGAAAACAGACAAAAACAAACAAAGCGGGAGAGAAAGGGAGAAGGCGCGCGAAAAGGAGCAGGCGAGATGTGCGCAAGCAATCAAGCGAACGAAAGACCTGGCGGCGGCCAGCGGCTGCAGGCGCGAGGCTGGCGGGAGGCGCCACGAAGCGGGCGAGGTCCCGGCCCGACGGGATGGCCACCTGGCAACCGGGCCGTGTCGCCGAAGGTGCGAATCCTCAGAAGATTGGCTGGAGCGCGGGTACGACTGGCTCGACTGCTGGGTGTCAGGACGCACTTGGCCAGGGTGTGCACACCAGGCGTCAGCTCCATGTGTATGAGAAGTCCTGCGATCTGGGCGCTGGGAACCGATGAACCTGACTCCTGGTATGTGGTCCCTGGTTGATTCCTTCTCAGGGATGGCGGCTGCACCAGGAGGGGAAGGAAGAGACCGAAAGAGGAAGAGGAGGTGGAGGGCCGCCCGGCTTCTACAAACGAGTTGGACAAATGCACATGCCTTTCAACAACCCTTCGTGGATTGCCGCTTCCGCTGCCGTCAGGCTGGGACACGACACAGGTCGCCCGCCGAGCGCTGGACCTCCTCTGGCAGGCTGGGGCCCGAACACCCACGACATGTAAAACTTGGGGATCGTCCCCCGATCCTTGACGTGCACCCCAACTTTCTGCAATACACCCCTCCACTTCTGCCTCCTCCTCCTCCTGCCTCACCACACCTTCTGGTCATGGTTCGCATATTGATCCTCCCTGGTCCACTCGATATCCTCCTCCTCTTCACCCCTTTCATCCTCATCAATTTGCTCTCCTGCTCCACATCCGCCTCCCACTTAGTCTCCTCCTTGCCCTCCTGAACCTCTCCCACCAAGTCACGTTTACATGCATCTTTGTGCCAGTGGACAAATCCACCTCGCCTGCGCACTGGGCGTTTCGTCTGAGACTGTCTCCCCGCTTGTGCAGCCGACGCCTGAGATTCCAAGCCGTTCACTGGCCGCCGATCGGACGTCCATTTCCCGCGCATGTTCGGTTTCGTGCGTGCTTATTTTCGCTCAATGGTCCAGGATGGTCCTGCGCGACTCGCCCCGCGCGCGCCCCCCCCTCCCCCCCCCCCAAAGCCCTCGGTCGAGGGCTAGCCAAAAACAGGTCGAACCAACGCGCGCGCGCAAAGGAAATCCCATTCCTCCTCCCCCCCTCCATCTCCCGCCCAATCTGTAAGTCGATAGTTTTCGCCAAGAAAAAAATGCACACTTCCGAGCGATGCCAAGCGGAAGAGCGGCGGTCTTCAAAAGGTGGCTCCCGCGACGGCGCCGCGCGCCCTCGTCTCAAAAGCTTCCATAACGCTGTGGAGAGGAGGAGGAGGAGGAGGAGGAGAGGAGGAGGAGGAGGAGGAGGAGGAGCGCGTCCTCCTCCTCCTCCTCCTCCTCCTCCTCCTCCTCGTGGGCGGCCTCCTCCTCCTCCTCCTCCTCCTCCTCCTCCTCCTCGTGGGCGGCGCCATATCACATTGTGGATCCTGCGGTGGCGCCGCGGAAATGTGTCTTCGACGTTGACTAGCAACTACTCGGATGGAGGGCGCTTGGTCTTCAACGGAGACGTTTCGCGTGATACTTCCTGGAAGCGTGCAGGTAGAAAGTCTAAACGGTGCAACAGCTGCACTGGTGGAGGCCATCTCCTTGCCAGATTGGGGTCTTCTCTTGAAACTTCATGAGGCAAGATGACCAGACGTTCACCCTTCAATAAACACTACGCAGGTTGAAGGCGGCTTTTTGTCAAAGCGAAGCTCCTGCTGGAGACTTCATTGGGCTTTCGGATACTCACTCGTCGCCGTCCATGTACAGTTTCTAGAAGCATGGATGGCACCTCCTTTTCAAATGAAGCGCTCGTCATTCAAGGGAGGGACTTCCCGTAGTGAATGGGAATTCTTGGAGGGGCTTGTGCGGAGAGGGCTTGGGACAGGCGGGCAATATGCAGCATCGTTGATGCATGTTGGGCTGATCATGGTCCCTTCACCTCATCCTTGTCCTCCTTCTCCTGCTCCTCCATGCCCCTGTTATTGGTAAGTCCTGGGGAGGGGGTTCTCCTCCTCGCCGCACCTCCAGACACATGTCGGTAAGGCCTGCCGTGCGAGTCGCGAGAGGCTTTCCAAACACTTATGATCCTGAGCCTTGAATTTCACAACCGTGTGAGGCAGCCATGATTACTCCAGATTTCGTAATAAAAGGGAGGGGGTCTGGACCCTCCAAGACAAGCCATTTCAGACCTCCCCCGTGGGAGGACCCTCCAAAACATCGTCCCCAGACCCCCCAGGCCCTCCAAGATAGCCTGGAAGAGACCCCCCCCGAAATGAGACCCCCCTCTCCCTTTATTACGAAATCTGGAGTACTCAGGACGTGCCCGTCGCTTCCATGCAACGCACGACGCACGCTCGCTGATTTGCTTTTTGGACGCAGCTCGGAGCGTGCCAGCCTGTCTAAAAACTGGCGCTGCGCTGCGGCGGTCGGCCGGGCCGGGCTGTTTCTCTGCAGCCCACGGGAGGCGCGGAACACACGTCCCTGCTCCCCGTCCTCCTCCTCCTCCTCCTCCTCCTCCTCCTCCTCCTCCAATGCAGACCTAAAAGTCCAAGCGACAAGAATACCGCGCTTCGAACGCCCCCACGGGAAAAAAACGCCGCCGACCGCCGCCGCTCCCCGTCTCCTCCCTGTTGCTTGCCTCTGCCACGGCCGTGGCCCTCGACGTCTGATCGTACGTCGGATCTGGCAGCTGCCCCCTCGGTCCTGGCGCGGCTTCCGGCAGTCTCGCGTTGCTGCAGCCCGTCCGTGGGGTGGCATGGACCTTGATCGAGCAGGAGCCTTCTACGATTGTGGATGCCACGACAATGGACACCCTAAAAGTCCCATCGTTGAATTTAAAATGTGTTAGAAATGCCGGAAAAATGTTCGAAACCTGTTTTGGACATGTGTTTTACATGTTTAAAGCATGTAAAACACATGTTTTAGGCATCTGGAAAGTATTTGGCAACATGCTTCCTCTCCATTGATCCTCCTCCACAATTCTACAGCCGCCGAACGGGTGCAGGGCGGATCGTGTTCAAACATGTGGCGCTCGCCTCGCGACAGCTGCACGGGCAGAAGGCGGCTCGTTTCCAAAAGGGGCTGAACTGCAGGGCGGCGCCCTTTTGAGATGGGGCTCCCGTTTGCATTGCACTCTCGTGGGGCCATCGTCGATCGGGCGGGCGAAAGGGAGGGATAGCAAAGCGGGGGTTTCAGATTCAGCTCACGTAGCTGATTTTCAAGGCGCCTCCCGGCGCCGGAGGCGGCCATGTATCGAGGAATGGGCCCCTCGGCGAGGCCGAAACCAGCTGCATGCAGCAAATTTCGTACCCCCCCCTTTCCCAATCCCCTCCTTTCGTCCGGCCCGAGTCTCTCAAGGGGAAGCTTCCCGCAGTTAAAGGAAACCCTCGCGTGGACTGATAAGGAGGGCATAGGTGGTGTCGCAGCATCGTCGAAGCATCTCGTGTTTCCTCTGGTCCCTGGTCTTTTTGCTGGCGCTCCTCCTCCTCCTCCTCCTCCTCCTTCTATCTCATGTTCCCATCTCCTGCTCCTGCACCAACATTCCCACAAAATGAAGGCAGAGGGGGAGCAGGGGGGGCGGGGGCTGGAAGCGGGGACGTGTGGAGGGAGGAGGGCACGATGTCAAAAGGAGGAGGGATTACGAGAATGGCCAGAAGGAGGGCATGTTGCATGTGCATAGAAAGATCCCGTGAGGGAGCCCCTAATCCCATGAGGCTGCTCAACAAAGAGGAGCAAGGAGGCATGGCGGAAGCAAAACGTCAGAGAGGGCGAACGGGGAAAATTACGTGACCCAAATGATGCGCCCCAGGCGGTCCCGACTTGAGACATTGCGCGCCTGGTAAAGACCTCCCTCAATGGAAATCACAGGAGTAAGGTTTTTCTTTCCGAAAAGTTCCCCCAGGGATTTCAAAATATGTTTGTGCCCGAGGTTATGCCGACACGGCGCGGAGCTTCGCCAAATTCGTCGGAGACGATGTGGTTTTGCCAAAAAGGCTCCGCGGCGCGATTTCTGATGTTCAAAGCTTTCCTGGAAAAGGCCAGTCGCATGGACCCTGGCCCGCACAAGCGCGCAGCGCACAGACGACACAAGGTGCTAGACCCAGGGGGCGGGCCAGCCGCGGGCGGGAGCGATCGCGACCGCTCTGGGAGAGCCAAGATTACCAGGTCGCCATGGAAACCTGGAGCAGCCGCATCGCCGACCAATGGGCTACAAACCGCCACTCGGATTGACAGCGAACACACAACCATTGCGATGCGGTGCAAGCACAAGAAGCACTATGATGCCAAATGCAACCAGCTCTCTGGGCGACAGCTGGTCTAATGAGATTCGTTCTTCCCTTTTGGGGAGGGGTTTGCCCCATCCCCATTACCCCCCCCCCGTGGACCTGGACGGGGGAGGCCGCGTGCGGTCAGAGGGCCCTCCCCCGCTCATTGGCAATGTCGTTGTTTGACACTCCACCACGGTGATCGTGGCCCCTGAGCGGGGGGGCAACGCAATTGCCCCACATCGTTTGATCGATTGCCTCCAAGATGGCCCCAAGAAGCCATTCATCCCCCAGTTGCTGAGGCCGTCGGGCATTCGAACCGCAGCCTTTCATCAAAAGGCGTGGCGGTATCCTCCCTATGTCTCCCTGGCACGGGCGCGCCAAGTCTTAGAAGGGCCGATTCGCGTGAGACATCGTCCCAATGGCGAGGCGGCTAACTAGGTGCACTCGTGGATGCTACGATCGTGCAAACAACGCTCTCGGAAAATATTTTCTCGGCAAATGGGTTGCAAGAGTAGCTCACAGCGTCGTCGCGAGTTTCACAGACAAGGCTCTCGCCAAAGAAATCCATTCCAGTTCTTCACGCTTCGCGTATCTCCACAATCCGGCTGAGCCTGTGGTTTGGGCTGCTGCGCCTATGTGCGTTTGCCTTGCGAATTCTGTTCATTTTGTTCAGTGCATGTGCAGGTGCGAGCTGTCTGTCTGCCGATTCCGGCTGGCGGCGAATTGTCTTGCAATTAGCCCCGTACCGTGACCCGGACGCCGCTTCCGCTCCCTGTCCGTTGCCTTGGAGCCGCCGACCAAAAAAAGTATCTCCACAATCCCATCCCAAAAGAGCCGCTCGACAGTGGCGTC